TTTTTTTTTTGTCTTGCAACCAAAATAATGTCTCCGGCGGCACAGACCTCTCCGAGATGTCAGGTTGCAGTCCGGAGGGGAAGCTCTGCGCACCGCACGGCAGCTCCCGGGGCTGCACCGCTCCATTAAGCGCTCCGTGGGAGCCGCGCTGGGGAGCCGGGCCGGGGGGGCTGCCCGTGGGCTGCTCCGGGGGAGCCCCGCCACCCCCGGCACCCGGGCGCCAAAGGTGCTCGTGTTGCTGCTGCTGTTGCTGCTGCTGCTGGCGCGTTCCATCCCAACTCCAGCCAGAGCCGGGGCAAGTTGAGCCGGAGACGTTTGAGCCGCCGCTGCGCTTTGGAGAGACGGGGGAGCGCGGCGGCACCATGCCTGCTATCAAGAAGGAGCGACTTGACAGGGAAGAGCTGGCCTTGGCGGCCTTCAACCAACCCATGGAGACCCTCCCCGACTACCTCGCCCCTCTGGCCGCCGCTGCCATGCCGGTGGTGGCCCCGCACCCGCCGGCATACGAGCAGATCTTCGCCCACCGCGCGTACCTGGGCTTCCACGAGAGCCCCCACCCCCCGCACCCCCCCCACCTCCCCGAGGACCTGATGCTGGAGAGGTTCTCCTCCATCCCGGATTTCCAACCCTTCTTTGACAACGGAGAGCCTTGCATCGAGGTGGAGTGCGGGGAGAACAAGGCGCTGCTCTACATCAATAAGTTGTGCCAGGGGAGCAAAGGACCCTCCATCCGCTACCGGGGCGAGTGGCTCACCCCCAACGAGTTCCAGTTTGTCAGCGGCAGGGAGACGGCCAAGGATTGGAAGCGCAGCATCAGGCACAAAGGTGAGGAGCCGTGCGGGGCCGTGCGGGGCTGTGCGGAGCGGGGGGGGTCCGCGGGATGCTCACTACCCGAGCGGTGCCTCCGTGCCCCCCCGCCCGCCCCCCGGGTACCCCGAGCTGCGCGAAGTTTTTTGTTCTTTTTTGGTTTTTTTCCCAGCCGGTTTGCGGGGGGAGGAAGGAGAAGAGGAGGAGGGGAGGTGTGCGCGCGTGTGTGCGTGTGTGTGTGTATGTGTGTGTGTGCGGGGGGG